TCGGCCTCCCAAAGTGCTGGGATTACAGGCTTGAGCCACCGCGCCCGGCCAATAATTTTTGTATTTTTAGTAGAGACGGGGTTTCACCATGTTGGCCAGGCTGGTCTCAAACTCCTGACCTCAAGTGATCTGCCTGCCTTGGCCTCCCAAAGTGCTGGGATTACAGGTGTAAGCCATCAGCCATAGTTGTTGATTTTTATTTTTTTCTTTTTTTTTTAGACAAGGCCTCACTCTGTTGCCCAGACTGGAGTACAGTGGCACTGTCAGAGCTCACTGCAGCCTCAAACTCCAGGGCTTAAGCCATCTTCCCAGCTTGGTTTCCCAACCAGCTGGGACTACAGGTACGTGCCACCATGACTGGCTCATTTTCAAATTCTTTGGTAGAGATGGGGTCTTCCTATGTTGCCCAGGCTGGTCTTGAACTGCTGGCTTCAAGTGATCCTCCTGCCTCAGCCTCCCAAAGTACAGGAATTACAGGCATGAGCCACTGTACCTGGCCCACAGTAGTTGACTTTAATGGAGAGAGACACTTTATCTAATCATCCATCCCTGAGTACTAAAAATATGAAAAGATTGTATACTTTAAATCTGTAGGCCAGGCGAGGTGACTCACCCCTGTAATACTAGCACCTTGGGAGACCAAGGCAGGCAGATCACCTGAGGTCAAGAGTTGTTTTTTGTTTTTTTGTTTTTTTGTTTTTTTTGAGACAGAGTCTTGCTCCATCACCCAGGCTGGAGTGCAGTGGTGCCATCTCGGCTCACTGCAAGCTCCACCTCCTGGATTCAAGCAATTCTCCTGCCCCAGCCTCCTCAGTAGCTGGGACTACAGGCACACATCACCACGCCCAGCTAATTTTTGTATTTTTAGTAGAGACGGGTTGTACCATGTTGGCCAAGATGGCCTCAATCTCTTGACCTCATGATTTGCCCGCCTCAGCCTCCCAAAGTGGTGGGATTACAGGCATGAGCCAGCACTCCTGGCCAAGGTCAGGAGTTCGAGACCAGCTTGGCCAACATGGCAAAACCCCATCTCTACTAAAAACACAAAAGTTAGCCAGGCATGGTAGTGGGGGCCTGTAATCCAGCTGCTCGGGAGGCTGAGGCAGGAGAATCACTTGAACCCGGGAGGCAGAAGTTGCTGTGAGCTGAGATCAGGCCCCTGGATACAGGGAAAGAAAAAGGAAAGGAAAGATAAAAGGAAAGGGAAAGGGGGAGGGGGAGGGAAAGGGGAAGGGGAAGGGGAGAGAAAGGGGAAGGGGAGGGAAAGGGAAAGGGAAGGGAAGGGAAGAAGGGAAAGGAAAGGAAGAGGAAAGGAAAAGGGAAGGAAGGAAGGAAAGAAGGAAGGAGAGAGAAAATAATTTTTTAAAAATTAATGATTTCAGGAAATACTAAAATGAGCCTGTCTCTTCATTTCTGTGGATTTCTTGTCACTATATAGATGAAATAATGTTTTATGTCATTCTGCAGCAAAACAAACCAATATTTCTATGTACACTTCAATTATGAAAGCTAATTGTTGGATTAAATCAATTGCAACTGGGTTATATCAAACGTCACAGTGTTGTTAAAACCTTAAGTTACCGTGTAATAATCTGGAAATGTCACCTAAAATTCTGGATTTCCAGCTTTCTGGGAAAATGGAAATTCTGGCAGTACTTGCGCCAAATTCTCAGATGGAAATCGTTACTGAGAGGTGAATACCAGAGACGCTCCATAGTCCCTTGTAGTCCTACCACTTCCTGTGGTCCCCAGCAGTGAACCCTCAACCTACCCATCCTTACAGTCATTTGAGTTTTCAGTTCCTGGTACATGAAAAACTTTACACTGTTTTCAGGACTGTTAACAGTTTGCTAGTATGGCTGGATTTATATCACGAAACTCCAACAAGTCAATGTATTCATGGATCCACCTGACATGATATTAACAAAGAACCTGTTAGCTCAATGTTTCTCAAAGTATGATGGGCAGGAACTGCATGTGAACTGAGAATCTCTAGAAATAAGCCTGAGAATCTCTTGAAATAAGCAATCTCCTCCTCCTCCTCCTCTTCTTTGTTTTTTTTTTTTTTTTTTTTTTTTTTGGCAGGGGCAGGGTCTTGCTCTATTGCCCAGGCTGAAGTGCAGTGGCACAACCACAACTCACTGCAGCCTCAACCTCCCAGGCTCAAGCGATCTTCCTACCTTGACCTCCCAAAGTGCTGGGATTACAGGCATGAGCCACCATGCTCTGCCTGGAGTATGCATTTGAAATGAGTTCTCCAAATGATTCTCATGTATACTCAATTTTGAGAACCAATGTCCTCAAGCAGAAAAACAATTCATTATTTTGCAAATTGTTCTCTCTTCAGTGGTTTTTTGACAGAATATGTAAATTCTAAGATAATTCAAAGGAAGAATTTACTCCTAGCTGGACAGATCAGAGAAGGCCGTTCTGGGAGATGGTAGCATTTGAGCCAGCCCTTGATGAAAACACAGGATGGAAACATGTGCAGAATGGTGCCCCAGGGGGCGGAAACTGCGTGAGCAAAGGCACAGAGGCAGGAAAAGGACATGTGTAGGGAAGGGCAAGCAACTTCCCTTGGTTGTCATAAGGGTTCACTAAAGGGAGTAGAAGCCAAGGAGGGTGGCTGACACCCGTAATCCCAGCACTTTGGGAGGCCAAAGTGGGAGGATGACTTAAGCCCAGGAGTTTGAGACCAGCCTGGGCAACATAGTGAGGCCCTGTCTCTATTATTTTTATTTTTAGATGGAGTCTCATTTTAGATGGAATCTCATTTATTTTAGATGGAGTCTCATTCCATTGCCCAGGCTGGAGTGCAGTGGCGCGATCTCAGCTCACTGCAACCTCCGCCTCCCGGGTTCGAGCGATTCTTCTGCCTCAGCTTCCCAAGTAGCTGGGACTACAGGCGTGCACCACCATGCCCAGCTAATGTTTTGTATTTTTAGTAGAGATGGAGTTTCACCATGTTGGCCAGGATAGTCTTGACCTCATGATCCACCCACCTTGGCCTCCCAGTGTGCTGGGATTACAGGCAGAAGCCACTGTGCCGAGCCTCTTTTTTTTTTTAAATGGGGGGAGTAGAGGATACTTACCAAGCTTGGCAAAGAGGCAGGGCCTGTCCATTAACAGATATGACTGCCTGACTAAGGCACATGGCAGGAAGGTTTTCAAATGAGGGCTAATATGATCAGAACCATACGTTGGAAGGATTTGTCAGGCATGAGTAGGAGCAGGAAAAGTAAGAAGCTAAGATGTGCTTTTATGGTGCTTAAACTAAAGGGATAATACTGGGAATAGAAAGAAGGAGACAGAGCTGGGCACGGTGGTTCACGCCTGTAATCCCAGCACTTTGGGAGGCTGAGGTGGGCAGATCACCTGAGGCCAGGAGTTCAAGACCAGCCTGGCCAACATAGTGAAACCCTATCTCTACTAAAAATACAACAATTAGCTGCGGGTGGTGGCAGGCACCTGTAATCCCAGCTACTCAGGAGGCTGAGGCAGGAAAATCACTTGAACCTGGGAGGTGGTGGTTTCAGTAAGCCACGATGGTGCCACTGCACTACAACCTGGGTGACAGAGACTCTGTCAGAAAGGAAGGGAGGGAGGATGGGAGTGAGGGAGGGAAGGAGGGAAGGAGGGACGGAGGAAGGAAGGAAGGAAGGAATGGTGCCATACTGCACTACAACCTGGGTGACAGAGACTCTGTCAGAAAGGAAGGGAGGGAGGATGGGAGTGAGGGAGGGAAGGAGGGAAGGAGGGACGGAGGGGAAGGAAGGAAGGAAGGAAAGCAAGGAAGGAAGGAAGGAAGGAAGGAAGGAAGGAAGGAAGGAAGGAAGGAAGGAAGGAAGGAAGGAAGGAAGGAAAGACATTTCTGAGCTACGTTAGGGGTAAAAGTCACAGATTAGACTCGCAACTGTGATCTTGCAAAAGGCAGAGTAGGCCGGGTGCAGTGGCTCACACCTGTAATCCCAGCCCTATGGGAGGCTGAGGCAGGAGGATCATGGGGTCAGGAGATGGAGACCATCCTAGCTAACACAGCGAAACCCTGTCTCTACTAAAAATACAAAAAATTAGCCGGGTGTGGGGGCATGCACCTGTACTCCCAGCTACTCAGGAGGCTGACAGGAGAATTGCCTGAACCCAGGAGGCGGAGGTTGCAGTGAGCCGAGATCGCGCCACTGCACTCCAGCCTGGGTGACAGCGTGAGACTCCGTCTCAAAAAAAAAAAAAAAAAAAAAAAAAAAGGGAAGAAAAAGAAAGGCAGAGTAGTTCTCAACACTAGCTGCACGTTACAATCAGCTAGGGAGCTTTCAAAAATGTCCTTCTGCCGGGCGCGGTGGCTCAAGCCTGTAATCCCAGCACTTTGGGAGGCCGAGACGGGCGGATCATGAGGTCAGGAGATCGAGACCATCCTGGCGAACACAGTGAAACCCCGTCTCTACTAAAAAATACAAAAAAAACTAGCCGGGCGCAGTGGCGGGCGCTTGCAGTCCCAGCTACTCGGGAGGCTGAGGCAGGAGAATGGCGTAAACCCGGGAGGCGGAGCTTGCAGTGAGCTGAGATCCGGCCACTGCACTCCAGCCTGGGCGCCAGAGCGAGACTCCGTCTCAAAACAAAAAAACAAGAAAACAAAAAAAACACAAAAATGTCCTTCTTAGGCCGGGCGTTGTGGCTCACACCTGTAATCCCAGCACTTTGGGAGGCACTGAGGTCGGGAGGTCGGGAGTTCAAGACCAGCCTGACCAGCATGGAGAAACGCCGTCCCTACTTTAAAAAAAAAAACAAAATACAAAATTAGCCAGGCGTGGTGGGGCATGCCTGTAATCCCAGCTACTCGGGAGGCTGAGGCAGGAGAATCACTTGAACCCAGGAGGTGGAGGTTTCGGTGAGCCAAGATCACACCATTGCATTTCGGTCTCGGCAACAAGAGCAAAACTCCGTCTCAAAAAAAAATGTCCCTCTTGCTAATGTAGTGTTCAGCCAAGTTGAGACCCACTTACCCAGAGAGCCGGGGTGACCAGGCCCGTCAGAAGTCCATCACGAACGGGAATAGGTAACACAGAAGATGTTGGTTTGGGAGGAAGCAGAAGGTCCTCCTGGGCCCAGCAAGGCCAAGGGTGGTGGCACATCCAGGTGGAGGTGTCCAGTAAGTGCTGAAAATACAGACCCAGAGTTATCGAGAAGCTTAAAATAGAGGTGTAAGGCTGGGCATGGTGGCTCACGCCTGTAATCCCAGCACTTTGGGAGGCAGAGGTGGGTGGATCACAAGGTCAAGAGTTCAAGACCAGCCTGGCCAAGATGGTGAAATTCTGTCTCTACTAAAAATACAAAAATTAGCTGGGCGTGGTGGCAGGCGCCTGTAATCCCAGCTACTCAGGAGGCTGAGGCAGGAGAATCGCTTGAACCCAGGAGACGGAGGTTGCAGTGAGCTGAGATCGCACCACTGAACTCCAGCCTGAGCGACAGAGCATGACTCATCTCAAAAAACAAAAAACAAAATAGAGATGTAGATTTCAGAATTCACTGCATAGAGATGAGAATTGAAAACAGCTGCTGTGAATATTGTTTGAAAGTTAGGTTGGGTATTTGGCAAGCAGTACCTAAGTTACAAAATCATCATGGAAGAGAAAGAGAGAGAGATGGGCCAATGCTAGAACTTGAGGAATATTTGCAGGTGTACTCAAGAGAATAGACCATTTTAATGCTTAACATTTGAACTCCCTTTCTTCTTTTCTTCCTTCCTGCACTTGCTTCATTTTTAAATTTACTTTCCTGTCATTTTGAGGGTTTGTATCCATATGTCAGGAAAAGTAGAAAATGGTGAGTTATGCACTTATATAATTCAATTCCCAACTCAGACCCCCTTGGCCTGTCTAATCCTGGGTTAGCTCTCCCAACTATTACACCATCCCTTAGAAAAAGTATAAGCTTTCATAGGTGTGGGATTGACTGCGGAGATAGCCAGGTACGTTGGCCAGGAAAGGCTAGGACTCAGCTGGAAGTAATTAACTTCTCAGCGGCGTAGAAGAAAGAAACCAACACGTTTCTGGGCTTGATCATGGATATTAGAGTTCATTTCTACTTGAGGGAATGCTGGCCTGCAAGTTGCCTGTTAGCTCTACAGTCAGTTCACTGAACTCTAATAGAAAAGAGCCTTTCCCTTTCCTTTCTCGACACTTTTTTTTTTTTTTGAGACAGAGTCTTGCTTTGTCACCCAGGCTGGAGTACAGTGGCACAATCTCGGCTTGCTGCAAGCTCCGCCTCCCGGGTTCATGCCATTCTCCTGCCTCAGCCTCCCAAGTAGCTGGGACTATAGGTGCCCGCCACCACACCTGGCTAATTTTTTTTTTTGTATTTTTAGTAGAGATGGGGTTTCACCGTGCTAGCCAGGATGGTCTCGATCTCCTCAGTTCGTGATCCGCCCGCCTCGGCCTCCCAAAGTGCTGGGAGCCACCTCGCCCGGCCCTTTTTTTTTTTTTTTTTTTTTTTTTTTTGAGTGGCATTATTTTTTGTCCCCGGGCGGGGGGGGGGGGGCGGGTTTGAGCCACCTCGCCCCGGCCCTTTTTTTTTTTTTTTTTTTTTTTTTTTTGAGACGAGTTCGCCTGTCGCCCAGGCTGGAGTGCAGTGGCCGGATCTCGGCTCAGCATTGCAAGCTCCGCCTCCTGGTTCTTCTGGGCCATTTTCCTGCCAGCCTTTTCCTCCCGAAAGCGCTGGGACTACAGGCGCCCGCCACTCCCAGCTAGTTTTTTGTATTTTTAGTAGAGACGGGGTTTCCCCACCGTGTTAGCTGTGGATGGTTCCCGATTCTCCTGACCCTCCTGATCCGCCCGCCTCGGCCTCCCAAAGTGCTGGGATTACAGGCTTCGAGCCACCGCGCCCGGCCTCTTTTTAAGATGGGTGTGTTCAACAGGTGTTACCTAGGTTGAGTAGGTGTGATCTTGCTCACCACAACCTCCGGTTCAAGCATTCCCTCCCCTGCCCTTTCAGCCTCCCAGTTGGACGCTAAGGTGCCACTACATGCCCAGCCACCTTTAGAGACAGGGTTTCACCATGCTGGTCCAGCTGGTCTTGAACTCCTGACCTCGTGATCTCCACCCGCCTCAGCTCTCCCAAAGTGCTGGGATGCGGATTGCAGGTGTAGCAGCCACTGCAGCGCTCTTCGAGGTGGAGTCTCCCTCTCTTGTCTCCCAGGCTAGAGTGCAGTGGCAAGATCTCAGCTCACTGCAACCCCCGCTCCTGGGTTCAACAATTCCTCCGCCTCAGCCTCCCGAAAGAAAGGCGTGGACAGCAGGCATACACCATACCTGGCCAGGATGGTCTCGATCTCCTGACCTCATGATCCGCCCGCCTCGGCCTCCCAAAGTGCTGGGATTACAGGCTTGAGCCACCGCGCCCGGCCTTTTTTTTTTTTTTTAGTAGAGACGGGGTTTTGCCATGTTGGCCAGGCTGGTCTTGTACTCCTGACCTCAAGTGATCCACCTGCCTCGGCCTCCCAAAGTGCTGGGATTACAGGTGTGAGCCACCATGCCCGGCCCCCAACTAAGTTTTCTTTTACAGAGTTGGAGGGTATAACCAGGCTTGACCTAATACTCACGCTATTGTTACAATGTGATTGTATTAATCATGCTATTTTACAATGTGATTTCTTCATGGGCAAACACCTTAATTCATATTCTGGTAGGGAAGTTTCTTGCTTTTTTGTTATTTTAATTTTTTCAATGTTTTATAGAGAAGTTGGGGTAGTCTTACTACATTGCTCAAACTGGTGTCGAACTCCTGACTTCAAGTGATCCTCTCACATTGGCCTCTCGAAGTGCTGGGACTACAGGTCTAAGTCACTGCGCCCAGCCCTGGTGTGGGGAGCAGGTTCTGAAGGGAGCAGGTTCTACAGGGGGCATGCCATCTTCGGCCATGGAGAAAGTTTATCTACCACCTTGTCACCCTCCTAAGAGGCAAACGAGCACCTTCTGGCAACTTGAGATTATAAGAGATTGAGACCAGGCTGGGCAACATGGCAGGCAAAAACACATTTCTAAAAAAAAAAAAAAAAAAAAAAAAATTAGGCAAGCATGGCGGTGCATACCTGTAGTTCCAGCTCCTCAAGAGGATGAGGCATGAGAACTGCTTGACCGCGAGAGGTGGAGGTTGCAGTGAGCAGAGATCATGCCACTGCACTCCAGCCTGGGCGACAGAGCCAGACCTTGTCTCAAAGAAAAGGAAGGAAGGATAGGAAGGATAGGAAGGAAAGGAAGGAAAGGAAGGAAGGAAGGAAGGAGGGGAGAGAGAGAGAGAGAGAAAGAAGGAAAGAAAGAAAGAAGGGAGAGAAAGAAAGAAGAGAGAGAGAGAAAGGGGTAAATGCCTAGCCCAAGGCCACACAGCAGCCTACAGCAAAACCCCATTGGTGGGCAAGTTCCTGGATCCAAGCTCTGAACTGTTTTCACAATGAACACTTAGCAAAATGTCATACACTCTGCTCGTTCACCATCATCATCAATTAACAAGTGGAACCTATAACCAAACTTTGAACAGATTGTCTTTTCTATCCAGTCTGAGCCTGTTTTGAATGAAGTAGAGAATAAAATCAAGACAGCATCATCATATTGAGTCAGTGGGTTAATTGCCTAGCCTAGGTTGGAAATAGCTTCCACTGGCCCCACTTAATACATGTTCTTCATTGTGACTGAAAAACTAAAGTCCTCAGGCCTGTCTGCTCACCCCGTTAGGGCACAGCTGTTGATAAGCAGAACATTTCCCTGTACTGCCTGCCATGTGCGAGGCCTTCCGCTTTGAGAAGGCACCTGACAGAGCAAGAGAGAGAGGGTCTCTGTGACATGCAAGTGAAAATCAACAAGTAAAACAAATCAATATGACTAGGATAAATGCTTTTATTTTATTTTATTTATTTATTTATTTATTTATTTATTTATTTATTTATTTATTTTTGAGATGGAGTCTCACTCTGTTGCCCAAGTTAGAGTGCAGTGGCACAATCTTGGCTCACTGCAACCTCCGCCTCCCAGGTTTAAGTGATTCTCCTGCCTCAGCCTCCCGAGTAGCTGGGATTAGAGGAGCCCACCACCAC